GCATCTCGATGAGGATATCTATTAATTGCAATTTCCTTCTGAAAGTTAATGAACATATACTTGGGTGGAAGGGTGTGCTGCGGTCAATTCTTCGTCTGTCGTCAGGGAATTGGCTGATGAAATATTTTTTCCATTTGGTGTGGGGTCAGATTTTTTGCAACTCCGGAAGACGTTTTCTCAGCTACCGTCCGATATCATGGAAAACGGGAAAATTGAGGAATTCGATAATTTTTCACGCATTTTCCACAAATGAATTAGAAACCGATTGTGCAACTGCCCCATGATGGAAATTTTAGACAGCAGATCGCAACTATGCTTTCAGGAACAATATAGGACGTAATTAAGCGGCAAGATTTCAGTGGTGGCACCGCTGAAGCCTCACTCCAATATCCTGCGCAAAGTGCAGCTCTCGAGTGCAGGCATGATTGCACATGTTCTTGAATTAAAGCTTGCATAATTTTTAACGAGAACCAAGCTAGCACAGTTTCCCGGAGTCTAATATCGTAACAGGGCACTGAATAATTCGGAAACGCCTCAAGAATGCAGGTAGGGTTGTGAGTCAACGAAGAAACGCGCCCTGCGGGCCTGGCAATGTAATTATGGGAGCGAAAGAGTAACAACACAGTTAATGCAGCGTTGTCAAATCGCATAGTTTTATCGGGGTATACTCGCCATTTTTTTTATAATTTTATCTTATCGAATATTCCAGCTCATAATTAAAATTTAAGTGAATTTCTTGTAATTTTCGCTTGAATTACGCAGTAGAAGTTTTTTCGAACGATTAGAGCTCTCCTTTCCTCGCAGCGCGCAAACTGAGACTGCTGTAACCATTAAATGTCCGAGCCGGGTCCAATTGACCTGAGGCTTCACTGAAAATTTTTTTCTTGAGGTATTACTTAACTTAAGGCGTTCTTTCTTGTCGACAAAATTGGGTCTATTAAGGTAAATCCGTACTTGAAGTCCGTTTTTTTAGTCAAAGAAACGTTCCTCTTCTATCGTTTTTCAACTTTAACTAAACGATAACAAAGAGACGCTTTTTTAACTTTAAAAAACTGGCTCTAAGTGGAATCCACACGGATTTAACTTAAAAACTAAATTTCGTAAACAAAGAACAACGCTTTGGGTCAAAATAATATCTCAAGAAATTTTTTTTTCAGTGAATGCTAAGAAACGTGACCCACGAGTTGTAGGAAGCCGATAGATAAAAGCTTTAGATATAGCTCTGAAAATACATCGTAATGAAAGAATCAGACATCAAATTTTAAAAAAAAGAAAAAATCGAGTGCGAACACAGCCGAAGATGGTTAACTTTTCTCCCAAATATGAGCGAAAACTCATTGTCAGCGTAGAGCGAAGCATTGAGAGTTCATGCCTTGCGCCGCGCCATAGCGCCTTCAATTTTGCAGGTATGCGACACGGACATCCATCAAACACGAATAGTTGTATTTCTACGCCGTAGTGCGCTGGCATCAACGCGCAGGGATCATTCTCATCGCTCTATTTTCGTATTGCGATTGTTTCCGTTTGTCTCGTCTCATTTGCAGTGACTCTTCAAGAGCTTCGTGAGCAGCACAGCCGAACTTAGGAGAGACGTAATCCGGCCTCCTTTTTTTTTAGATTTTCTCCCGAAATCTGAGAGACAACTCATCGTCAGTGTAGAATGGAGCATTGATAGTTCACGCGTCGTGCCATCCTGCCCCAATTTTGCAGCTGCAACACGGACATCTATGACGGACGAATAGTTGCGACTCTGCCCCGTCATTAATTCGCGTTGAGGTGTCTCTAATACCTGAAATTTGAGAGATGTGAAGGTTAATTTTGCTAAAAATATGCTATGGTGTGTCCAAATCAATCAGCATTTTGAAAAAAAAAAAAAATTACACATTTTCCTAGCACCCCATAGGGTGCACGTATAAAAATTGGCATTTTGGCGAGCTTTTATTGTTTGTTTGTTTGTTTATTTTTTTGTTTGTTTGTTTTTTTTTTTTTGGACGATTACCCCAGAAAGCCCCGGGTCAAATTGACCAAACTAGATACATACAGCGGATAAGGAGCGAGATAGTGCCACTATGTCACCAAAAAAGTGAATCTTTAAAAAAAAGAAGCATTTCTTATCCTCAAATAACATAGATAATACTTCGAAAACTATCAAAATCGATCTTCTCCATCACAGTCGATTTGACCCGGCCTGGACTTTGCGTATAAATAAAGGTCTTCGGCATCTAAGTGTTAAACCAATAGCAGAGAGTGAGCTGTATTTCTTAAATGTGCGAAATCAAGTTTCCCTCAAAATTTTTCTAATCTACTTTAGATGAAACCACTTACGCAGCTTGAACAACAAAATTCGCCTTATTCGTATGAAAACGAGACCTATGAGACAGCCGTAATTGAAGTTGTTCCAGACTTAACAGCCAAAAAGGGTATCGTTCCACAAGAGGCCAATTCCGAGCTGTTCAGGATCTTTACTTTCAAGTAAATTTGCTTTCTTTCCTGCCAATTTCCGAACTTAAAATTTATTTATCATGTGCCTAAAACGGACGCATGCCGAAACAAGCAGGAGATAGCACATACGACTGTCTTGCCCATAACACTAACCTATCCCAACTATTCAATGTATCAGATTTTGATGTCGGTAATATCGTGAGTTGCTTCAAACTTTGTATAATCGGCCCGCTGCTATTCTCTAAGCTACCAGCCACGATTCATGGCATAATTCAGTGCAACACTCGGCAACATGAAGGCACGCAGGAACGATAAATAAGTCGAGATAAAAACAGCGGATCCCGCCATGCTGCGTGTCACCGCCTTCACTCATGGCTCGGCGAAGAATGAAGCGCCAGCGCCGTGGGCCGACTTGGCGGCAACCCGCTCTACACCACGTCAAGCCGCGCTCTCTCGTGGTTGCGGCGAGCGGGAGCTCTTTTCAAAGCCCCTTACTTAGCTGCCTTTCACGCAGTCTATTTTTATTAGCTTCGTACCCCTCACATCCATCCTTGCACTGTCACTTCTGCCCTATGTTGCCGGTGAAGCACTGGACCACCAGACTGGGATGAAGTGAATTATCGGAAGACATGCCCGTCGAAAAGTTACTAGGAATACGTCGAATGTGCTGAAAATGTTAAAAATTACCCAGTGTTCATCGATATTTAGGATATTCAAATTTTCCACAAAATCCCCAAATTGGCGTAATTCAAATCCACAATTTGACCGCGTTAAGCAGTTAGAAACCAAGCCACATCAGCTTTTGTCAAATTTGATTGGATTGGACAGTTTCATTTTTTACATGAAAACGGTTGTGCGGATTTTTGCGCAAACTTTATTGAATTTTCTGCATAGTACGAAGCAAATGTCTTCAAAAATTCAAAGGAATTAGCACCAGCGTTCTCTTGAATAAAAATGAAATTGCCGAGTTAAATTTATGGCGATTGCTGATGTGACTTAGTTCCTTACTGCTGAACACGTTCCAATTGGAGCCAAAATTCTCTGTTCTGCAAAAAATAAAACGTATTCGTAGGAGAGATTCTCCTCCGAAACATACTAAATCGCATGTAACTCAAAGAAAAATAATGTGTCGTAAAAACAGATCAGCGCGGTTGAAAGCTCTACTTGTTTGGAATCGATTTTGATTTTTAGCCAAGCGCGTGGTTGGAACTGTCGATTATCGAAAATCCCACTTTCTACTCACTCGTGGGTTTCATTTAAAATTTACGATTTGTTCATTTTAAGTGAAATTTTGACAGGAAAACATGCATATCGGTGATTAAATCCTCATGTCGCAATCCTCCACGGTTTTCTAGGAAATGGTGGAATGATGTCAACCAATGGCTCCATTAGCGCTCCGTGTTACTAATTGTGTAAGCAACACAAGCTTTGATACCTAATTCGAACGACTTCCTGTCGATAATTGATGCTTTTCCTCGAGCACAGACCAACGCAACGGCCAAAAATTTATGGGAGTGCTTTATTTGTGAAATTTTAAATATCAGAGAGCAATGGGAGGGTGTAATGCAATTAGTAATGATCACTGTTTTTTTGCTAATGATGCAACATGAATAATGCGCCCTGCTCATTTTGTCACGTCTGGTCAAATAAACCTCCGACGAGTGTAATTCAGTTTGAAGCGTTGGGGCGTGAGGTTGATACTGGTGAGCCCAACTAGTTTCGTCCCTATTTCTAGTTGACTCAGTAGTGGCAGCGAGAAGGCACTCCCCTCAACAAGGGAATGCTCTCTGATTCCATTTTACGCTAGCGTATTAGCTGAATGATATTAATTGAAATACAGCAAATCATATTTCTTGATCTGATATCTGCTTGATTATTTAGGATCGCCTTACAGTCATTCCTTAAACAGATTTTTTCCTTCGGATGCCTCATTTGGTTTACATTGCTATGAAGGAAGATTTAAGGACACCTTCAAAATAACATCATAAAAATGACAAGTTTTGCCAATCATTAGTTAATACTTTTAATGATACTACTAATTTAGTACTAACTTAATTCTAATAACAATAAAACACACTAAAATACAAAAAACAAATGGGTACCTATACAAGACTAGAGGAGACATAAAACAACCAGGACGTCTCGGGCCAATTACATGCCCATTCTCAACTGGAACAAAAGCTAAAAAATGTAAAAATTAAAACGAGAAAATGAGCATGCAACTGACCGAGGTAGGAATCCGTGCAAACTCCTCCAGTTGCACCGATTCTTACCTCGGTCAGTTGCATGCTCATTTTCTCGTTTTAATTTTTACATTTTTTAGCTTCTGTTCCAGTTGAGAATGGGCATGTAATTGGCCCGAAACGTCCTGGTTTGTTTTATGTCTCCTTAGCCTTGTATACCCATTTGCTTTTTGTATTTTAGTGTGTTTTCATTGTTGTCTGCATTCGGGCTATTGTTGCTGTCGCTCTCTTATCACTTACTTCCAATTTAGTGATATACTTACTGCCGAGGGTTTCTTTCAATAATTATTGTTTTTGTCGTGTTTCAGGTAAAATTTCACGTTGATCTTCAACTATGATTTTCTTGAAGAAATTGAAGCATCTCTGATCATTCAAGGTAAAATCAGCCACAGCTATTTCCCTAGATCAATCATGTACCTCATAACAAAACGGCGAATTTATCCTAAAATAGTGTGTAATTGTAACGGCGGGGACCCTCAGCACTTCACTGAAAAAAAATTCTCGGCGTTTTTACCAAGGTCCGTTGGTACCTTTACCATCTCACTTTTTTACCAATAATTGGTAATTTTACCAAGACAAACCGGTAAGCTTACCTTAAAACCGGTATTTTTACTGTTTTTTCAGGTAAGAATACCACTTTTATTGGTAAGCAATTCCCAGTAACTTCACCATTTTATCTCGGTAATTCTACCACAGTCGATAAAAATATTGCCGTTTTTACCAAGGTCCAGTAAAATTACCAAGAAAGTTCAATAATTTTACCGAGATTTCTCGGTAAAATTACCAATTCCATAAATGGTAATTTTACCAAGAAAAAACTGGGATCAAATAGAACCCTGAATTCTTGGCAATTTTACCCTTTTCTTAGTAAATACACCGAGATTTTTTTTTCAGTGTTCAACTTATCTATCAGATTAACGTCACGATTCGCTTTCACTGAGGGTTCGAATACACGCATAGCTCGAAGCTGCGCAAAAGCTGCAAAATACTTAAAAACTCGAGAAACAAGTAAAAATGGGTGTACTTGTTTTTATTCTTTTAAGACCGGCTTCATTTTCAAGACGACTTTTGTGCTTAACCTGACGCCTTGAGCTGGCTCGGTGGTAGTCCTCTAGATTTTAAATGCAAGAAAAGTTTTGGAGTTCCATTCCTTAATGAGCAAAGAGAACAAAGGATGTGGTTATGGGGTGATGCTCACGGCACCGAACATGCCCGCGTGCGTCTAGAAAATGATTGCTGCTCAGACAAAATGAATTAAAACTCAACGAGAAAGGGTGCGAGACTGCGTACACGAAAAGACTCACCGAAACAAACCTACAAGCAAAACTTTTTACCACGATATCAATTTTGCCCGGTCTCCAAGTGCATATTTCTAAGAAACGAATGCAGACTGCGTCTCGATATGCTCACTTTTCTGTAAGACCTGAAGGGCAGAGAAAAAGGGTTAATCTCCAGTATGATCTCATTGGTACGTGCGAGTAACCTTTAAATATATAAAGCTCCTTGAAAATTGTGTGAGAGTGCACAACTGCACAAACCTACACCGAAGTTGAAATAATTGTTTAGATAAAGATCAAAATTAACATTGTCGCATGATGCACTTATAGAGTAACTGCATGTCGTGCTGAAGCAAAACGTCGTATGAACATTTGAATTTTGCCAAATATCCTCTCAAAATCTATTTATTCTGGAGGAAAGTTACGAATATTTGTCTTTGAAATTTTCGAACACTCTGGATCAAATTACGAGCGAAATTCTCTGGAAATGGGAAGAAAAGTACTCAATTTTTTTTCGAAAATTCGTCATTGGTGAGGGGAAATTTGGCTACGTTTGAAGAGTCATAAGGCGTTTTTTTCTTAGCACGGCTGATAACCTCCCGTTGCATGACCCCAGCTGTGAGTCAAGTTAATTTTCGAATCCATACTATCGAGTAGCTAGACCATAAGTGCATAGTTTGCCTTCAAGTTGTTTTATAATCCAACTTCATCAAGACATATTATTTTTCTCACCATTTATTATTTTAATTTTTAGAGCAAGAAAATGAGAAGAGAAATTAAGAATAGGCAATGGTCGAATTGAAATTGTTGAGCATAAGGAAAACGACGCACTGCGGAGAACAATTAATAGCACGTCTCAAAAAAATCAACGATTAATATCAACATTCAGAATTAATAAGTGCATCTTTTGGCGCGTATACGTAGTATACCGCCTTTGCGATCGTTTCGACCCCCCCCCCCCCACAATAACC